GCGAGTAGCACGTCTCGTTCAGTCTGTAAATTAACTTCTCTCGTTCTTCTTTCCCAATCATAAATATAAGATACGGATATAACGTTCAACGGATGTACGAGATGTTTTAATATTTTTATTTGAGAGGCCATTCAAATATAATTGTAGAGTTTAGAAATTTAAATCCACTTTTTTAAAGACGCTATATTATAATTTAAAATTTTTTAAGAATTTTAGAACTATTAGGTTTTTATGTAATCCTTACAATTCTGTATGCGTGAAATATTTATAGTGATCTAATCATAATCACATTAATGGTTACAGAAAGGAAAATATTTCTTTCGCCCTTGTCGTTCTTTCATCCGGAAATATTGCGCAAATATTTTCCTCCGTGCCGGATGTCGGTCGGAATTTCGAGCGTATGCTCTGGAACGGCGGAGAACAGGAAAAGCGAGATTGCTCAAGCGGAAGGGGGTAAAGGGGGGGGCTTTCACGAGAGCTGTTTCCCTTTCGCCCTTCGCCGTTCTCGCATTCGCGATCAAAAAATTCCAGATCCGCAATTGCACTAACCTAACGCCGTCGATCGTGCTTTCCGTACGAACGATTGTGGTAATGAAAATCGATCCGAATATTGTAGCAGAGGGCTATCGATTTTCCTTTTAACTAAGCATTCTATTGCATGTATTCTCCAGTAACATGCAGTGAATATCGATTGGATCCTTTGCGGAAAATGTGAAAATAAAAGAGTCAGAAATAATGAGAAGTAAATATTGATAGTGACTTAATTGTAGTTTTTTTATTCGAATTATTTAAGTCAGATAGGAAAATAAGACAGAAACTTGTCATGGTATTGATTAGCGCTATTTTAATATCAATTTACTTCCTTTTTTTTGCTTATACTAATTGACAATTTATTAACAAATACAATAGCTAATGGCTAAAAAATTGATTTTTTTTTTTGCTTAAATTATATGTATGAAAAAATGACTCAGAAAAAACAAAATGAACCATTGATTGAAAATTATTCGATGAATATCCATTAGTATTTTGTTCATTGGCTATTAAAAATATAATAATTAAAAATAATAGTTTAAAAAATGAATTAATTTAAAAGTATATAAATAATTAATTTATACATACATTGTCTTCTTAAAGAAATAATACAAAATTACAAATATTAAACGTGAAATAATAGTCGCTTATGAAAGATCACTTAGCATGTTGTCTATTAAAGTTTGTACATGTTTATAAAGTTCTACTTATTTCTGGCACAATATTTAGAACTTTTAAACTACTAGTAAAGTAGGGGGGATGTAAAATTCTTTGGATGTCTCAAACACAGTCTGTAGATGGGCCTTAAAGATTGCTCTCAGAGATGGTAAATATACTTGGTCTTACGCGAGTATATTGCTTTCTGATGTAATACCAATCTCATTACACGCGCGCACATACGGTAGAATCTGGGTCGTTTCGCTCTAGAAGCAGCCGGCCGATCGCGTCATCGATTTACTCGATGCACTCTTAAGTCTTTTTTTTCCTTTCAATCTTGTTCCCACGTATAACTAATGACTTAAGGGTAGCTTAACACGTTTCTTAATCTTATGGAAAATCTTTGCAGAAAATCTGTAGTTTTAATATTTATTTAATACCAAAAAGAAGTTAGAAATATCATTTTTATCTTATATTTTTCTTTTATTTTAATTTATTTTTATTTATATTTATCTTTATTTTAAGTAAATAAGCTAAATGAGAAAATATGTAAGTTTAACATTGCATGCGCGCGCGCATGTATACATGGATTTTTTTTTATATGCGATAATAAAAACCGTGACAAATCAAGGAAGTATAATTTGATTTTCATTAGGTTATTGATGTAGAAATTATTACGTCTAAGGTGGCGTAAATAATTTTGGAATTAAAAGTGCGGCTTTCACGTTCTCGATGGCTTTTATCTTTCGGCGATTTCGCAGTTATCAAGAGTAGGAAATCGAGGAATTGTTTAGGCGCGGCATTTTCAGACACGCTATATTACGAGGGTAATGGTTACGTATTATTTCACTGCATATCTCGGCTCGTTATTTTGTCAGCCACGCACAGATTTAACTTCGTGGCGAATAAACGTTAACGCTGCGCACTACGAGATAGTTAATCCTTTATTATGCACCACGTGCCAGTTATGACGCAACAGCAATTATGATTGTAACAAGTATTAGGGAAGTGTGTCTTTCAATGATATATTTATTGCAACCGCTATTCGTTTAGCTATTTCTAAATTAGAACATATAATTAAAAGACAAAGAGAAAAATAATTTTGTAATTATTAGTATTTTTTATTTTATAATTATTAGCAATTATTTTTTATAACATATTTAATTTAATACTGTATATTTTGTATATAGATAAAGAAAAGCGTGTTATCATTTCAATATCAAAATATCAGTACCTATTGCAACTAAAATTAATTTTTATTATTTTGGAATTATTTTCCAAAAATTTTTTTTCTTATTAGAAAGTAATCTAAAATTTCTTATTGAAGTACATTTAATAAAGCTTTTCAAATTTGAAAATTTATAGGGAGAGAGAGTTCCGTTATACAATTTAATGTGTCAATTATTTAAATCCTTTAAATTTATCTTTGAACTTGCGAGAGTAACTGATGATAATGCCGATGTAAACGGTGCCGATGATTTTAACAAAACATGCCGCAAACAGCGTTAGAGCGTTTAATGCCTTTTTTTCACTCAGGAGCGACTTTTACGATACCTCTACGTGAGTTAAAGTGGTAATAAAGCAGCCGCATTCATTCAGCGCCAGACTTTTACAAGGCGACGAGAGCCTCGCGTGCCAATTATATCTGTTATGACAGATCGTTGTCCTTTGTCCCGTCATGTCAAGCGCCGCGATTAGCCTCATTTCGTAAAATGCGATCGTTTTTTTTACGATCCTACCTGTAAGATGGATATAAGTGTGCAATTATTATATCGTGTTGCTTATTGCTGTCCTACGCAGTTATTCGATATCTCTCTTCAGGTTAATACTGAGTCATCTACTGAAACTTGAGAAAAAAAAAGTAATGATCGTAACGACGAAATCGATCCAATTCCGTATCTTTAATTTCATATCTGGAAGGGCGAAAGTCTGCAATGTCCGATTTGTTAAAGCTTCAGAGTAAAGCTGGAACATTCCTTTAATAGTTTCGGTCCGGGCGAGTAATAAGTAACGAATGCGGATTGGAAGGCATAAAAAAAGCGCCGAACCACATTCCGCGAGTAACTAGAATGAAAACAGCAACGTATGCTGTTGCATTTTATATATACGTGTACGGCGACGGTGTAGAAAGTTACTTTATCGCGCGATATCAGCTTTATCGCTAAAATGTGCAACAAAAGATGCGGAATCGGTAGGTCTGATCGACACCTAGAGGGCAAATCGATCTATCATAAAGGAGAGTGGATCGAAAATGCCGCTCCGTACTAATATTATACTTCGATATACACGGTGTCCTATCAACTTGCATCTTATCTACCAAATTTTTAAGGATCGGATTTTTCGTTAGACAGAAATGTCTCTTATCGTTAGTAAATCGATAATTTCTAAATTATAAGCTATCAAAGATAAATAGCTTTTCCTTTTCCTTTTTTAAAGAAACTTTAGAGAGATGAAAGCGGAGAATAGATTAAGAAATTTAGTTTCAAATGTAGTTTGCTGTGACACAAAAGAGCTTAATTTCAAGAAAATTTCGTATAAAAATATTTCATTTATTTGGAAGTATTTTTAAAGTATTTAAAGATAGATATATTTATACATATAGTTTACATAAAAGTATTTATTTACACACATAAAGACATCTAGCTTATTTAGAATGTTGATAGCTTTCGAGAAATAATATTTTTCTTTAACATTTTATCAAAGTAGAAGTCGATTCCAAATTGATCGAAGAATTCATAAACGAGATCTAGTTTGCAGGATTACCCCGTATAAGGTAACGGTGACGCAACGCAATCGCCAATCAAACGTGTAATAAATGTAAACTTCATAATCTCCGTTCGTTATCTATCGCGAGATACCTAAATAAACGTTTATTAAACATCAGTGAAAAATGCAGGAAAGAAAGGAAAGTAGAGACTCCCGTGAAATTCCGATAATCTTTACCCATTAAGTAACATTAGCTTATTATAAATTTAATTAATATTCTAAAATTTCGAAATTCCGAACAACTCGTTTGCTTAACTTTATGATAATATAAATAATTATAATGTAAAAAAATTGAAGAACGAGAGAATTACGATGCAAAGATATAGAAAACTAAACGATGGATGACAGGCACTTAAAGGCTTTCTTCTTCTGAAAGCACTCGGAACTATGTCGCGACTCGATGTTTGGTTTCTCACGTATTCCACGGGCGTCCCTTTATCGGGCGAAATGGAGGGCGAAATGCAGTCGACGTTGGCATTACGTAAGCGATGCATGTAACTCCCGCTGGCTGCGCCCGATTATGTGGGAAGCCGATCGCAGCGGCGGCGTATTCTGTGAAAACGGCACATGCACACGCACAATCGAGAGATCGAATCGAACGTGTGATCACTGAGGCGTGACTTCGAGAGCGGTTTATGTACCCAGGCGCGGACTGGTGTGTCTCTCCCTCTTTCTCTTTCTCTCCCCTCCCCCCTCCCCCCTCCCCCTCCCGCTCCCTCTCTTTCTCTTTCTCTTTCTGTTCTTCTCATTCGTAGAGGATATATACTTCAGGTATTTTACATCCTACTTACATCCACTGGACGTTGTAATAATTGGCTTCAGAGATAGTCGGGCAGCTTTCTCGAAAATCCCTGTTCCACCAATCTAGATCGCGATCCAGGATCTCTCGCCCACACAATGGCAAAGATATTCGATAGACAAAAATAGTCTTCTCGGTTTATAGAGCGGGTTTTCATTTCAGGAATTATTATAAATTCTCGAAAAGGAAATAATTATAGAACATCCCTGCGTTTTATTTCATATTTTATTAACAATAAGAGTAAGAAAGAATAGTAAAAATAAAAAAAAAACGGCTAAATAAAATCCTTGTTTAAATTCCAATAGATATACCTTCAAACACAAATAACATTGTGCATATATATGTACGTTAATTGTTAAATTGTGATAAAATTTATTAGTTAGTATTATGAAATAACAATTTCTTTTAACATAATTTACATTTTCAACACGGTTTTGCAATAATTTATGAGAAAAGAAATCGAATTACGTTCTTTATCGAATATGCTACATCGAGCACGGCTTTAAATAAATAAATAAATAAACAATGAAATAAATAAATGAATGTTCAGACAATTGTCCAACTTCATGTCTCGTTTTCATCGTCTCTTTCAGTCGTTGCCCGTTCCGTCGGCCATTTCCCCGCAGTCGCGGCCGGATCCACGGTGGTAGTGGTCGGCGGATCCGTGATCACAATGGGCCCAAGAGGTTCCGCGGTCTGTTCTTCTTCCTTAGGAGGTTTCTCCCCATGCTTGTCCTCGTTCGAAGTTTCTTCGATACTCGGCTTGTCCGCGAGTCCTTGAACGTCTTGCGACAATTCCATAGCGGCGTCGGGCATCGGCGGTATCAATTCCATCGACGGTGTCATAGTTTTTATCTGGCACTGTCGGCCCATGTAGCCCAGAGGACAGATGCATCTGCAAGAAAAACGCACAGAGAATTTCTCCTAATTTTTCTAAAGAGATATTATCACGGTCATCCTCATACGTTACAATTAAACATTACAAGCAATCGAATAAATTTTATCTTTTATTTAATTTCAAGCGGATTTTATTACGAGTTCAGAATTTCAAAGAACGAAAGAATATTGCTGGATTTTTAAAATGAAAAATATGTATAAATAATTTTTAGTGTAATGTAATAATAAAAATAATAACGGTATTTATAATGTCGTAAAAGATTAACATGAAATTAATCATACTTGCTACAGAAAAAAGTTGACTTTAAGCCGACAGATTGCGATTACTATTTGTATCGTTTTGTAACTACGATAGAATCGAATTTTGCTTTATCTCACTTGTAATTGCCATCCTCATGAGTCATGCTGATGCAAGTAGCGTTATTTCGACAAGCGTCAGGATGCTCGTCGCAGTAGGTGAGTTTTTCGTTGCACAGATCGTCGGCCCAACCGGGTTCGCATCGACATTCCCATGGTCGTTTACACGATCCGTGCACGCATCCGGGGTACGGTACGCATTCGGTGCAATTGGGTCCCGTCCAGCCGACGCGGCATCTACACGTGCCTGGTCGCCTGCAGCCGCCGTGTTCCCGGCTGCATCCTTGTGCGCAGATCGCTGATAAACGCGGTATTTTAGTATATTATTATATTATCAGTTTATTATAAATAATCTATTAATCTAGTATATTATGATATCAATATATGTAATTCTCGATACATAATATTAATTATAGCTAACGTTTTAATATAATATTAGTTAGAAAATTTTAATACAATTCAATTATCTTTAATAAAAATATTTTTTTGTGAAGCATTTATACATCGCTTCTACATTAATTATTTTATCGACAATTAAAATCTAATTTTTAAGTACTATTAGAATAAAATTAATGGTGTTTTAAATTAGAGATCAGATCCATCGATTCATGACTATATCATAAAAAACTTTTTACTTTTGTCGCCAGTACGACACTTTGTGGAAAAGTGTCGTGCTGATAATTTTTGCTACTGCTGGCGATAGTTCTGGCTTTTTTCGATTTTACTCGCGTACAACTCGATCGGAACGAGCCAGAATATTGGCTTATTATTAATTTTAACTTTTAACACGTGTTATTTGGAAAAAGTTTTAAGAATAATTCTTAAATAATTTAATTTGATATTAATTTCTTAAAAAAAGTGTTTTATAATTTAATAAAATTACAAAAAGATAAGGAGATAATTGTAACATTTCTCTACCGAGATATTTTTAAAAAATAGAACGATATTTTTAGCGATTCCGAGAAAATATTGTTGATCGGTAAACATACGTGACTTGAGACAGTATTTTCTTTTCTGAACAAGTCTTCACATGTCTTGCGCATCTCATTGTATATATATTTTTTATACGTTGTCAAAGTCAATCAACGAAGGATCTTGTGTACATGTTGTAGAAAAATTCCGTCTTTTACTCTCTACTGAATAGAAGGAAAAATAAGATGATTCTCCTTGATAGTCACGTTTCCGTTTATTCTGGGAAGAGTCCCTCTTCTATTTATTCTCGGGAATAAACTTACGTGTTTGACAAAGCAGTCCGGTCCAACCCGGATCGCATCGACACTCGAGGGGCCCTTGACAGGTCCCGTGGGCGCAACCTGGCAGAACCGCGCACTGTTTGCACTTGGGGCCTTGCCAACCTAAACGACATCTGAAAGAAAAAATATATCTTTTTTTTTATATTTTCTTACAATCAAATATTCTAAATAATTCATTTTTTTTAGTACACTTTATTCTATCATTCTGTAATAATATATCCTATCATTTTATAATAATATATAATACTATAATAGAATCTGCCATTAAAAATGTTAAAAAATACATTAAGCTATGATAAATGATAAATGTTTTAAAAGAAAGAAATTTACGAATGAAATTTGTTTTTGAAGTCTAATATTTCGATACCAATATAGTTTGTAAAATCAATTTTGGTGAAAATCTTTGAAAAAAATATAGAGCATGCATGTACGCGTTTAAGAAGATGCAAGATTAATCACCTGCATTCGCCAGGTTTCTCGCAGTAACCCTGACTGGAGAGGCAGTCGGGCGCGCAAATGGGCTCGGAGCAGAACATGCCTTTCCAACCGGGATCGCAGGAGCACTCGAAGCTCACGTTACACCTGAAAGTGAAAATCTCACCGTCAAGTTCCCGTATGTCTATCGAACGGAATCGATCGATGGTCACGAGAGACTGCTTCCAAGGAAGCGTTTCGTGTTACACGGAAATTAGGCTCGTTCGCTCACCCAAGGTGAAAGCAAAGCGTAGCTGATACGGGCTGTTGTTATTCAAGCGGCGTTCAATTTATATCGTACGTGTGCGGCACGATTTATCGTCATACAGCCACGTGGGTGCTACATCGTTATCTAGTATAATTGTTATGGAGTTATCGAAGAGAGATCGATGAAGAATTAACGAGTTTAATTTTCTCCAATACGAATATATATATGATGTTCGATTTTTGCGCTCAACGTATACAGAAAAAAAATGTAATATCTGAAAATATATTTAAAAAAATAATAGTAGTAAAATTGAATCTGATCTAATTTGAAAAATCTGCTCCATAAAATGAAATAACTGAAAGAAATAAAATGTTTACTGATATTATGATAAAATTAACGCTTCACATTATTCACTCTAAAGGTCACACACAATGAGTCATATAAAATAATTGAAATAATTAATTAAACTACATACTAAAATTAATTTGTTATAAATTTAATTAATAATAATTTAATATAATCAATTTAATTTGTAGTAAAAATTAAATACAAATTCAGTAATATTACATACTTAATCAATTTGACTGTACATAATAAAAAGAAATATCTTTATATATAAGTAACATTGTTTTTCTTTTTGGTAAGAAATGGCATAAGTACAAATATAAAAAAACGAAACGAACTTTCCGTTTAATCTAATATTTTTTTGTTACAATGTAATTTAAATACTTTGTAAGAATTTTTATGCCAATGTATGGCTTTGAGAAGAAATTTATATGTTTTTTAAACAGTGCATTTTCTCTTCATCTTATATCAAATTACAAATATGATCATACCTTCCGTGCTGACATCCTGGTAAAGCCACGCATTTATCGCACAGTTCGCCATAGAAACCCAGCTTACAACGACATTCTCCTGGTCGCCGACAGTAGCCCTGGAGGGGATCACATCCCTTGCGGCAAATTGGCACATCACAAAGATCTCCGGTCCATCCTAAATAATGTTTTATTATAATGTTGCATTAAAAAAATAATATCTATAACGAATTTTAGAATTATTTTTTATTCTTTTATTCTTTCATTAAAAAGGTATGTTCTGCTATTGATTAATTTTAATTAATTTAATTTACAGTAATAGCTAAATTAATTGTATATTAATATGTAATTTAATTTATTTTAATTCAGCTGTGAAATATAATTCGACCTTATTTAAAAAATCGCTTTTTATACCTGGCAAACATTTCACTTCACCAGCTTCGTCGCAAATGTAATGCGAATTCGGATGTTGGGATGCCGGTATTTCACACGCTTGCTTCTTCCATTTTGGAACGTATCTAGATGATTAAATTTAATAAAATGTTGATAAATTAGAGCTCGTAAATTAGTAACAAGGTCTTATATTCTTATCTGTCAATCCGAGGAAACAGTGACCCAAATACCTGTCGATATCTATTAATATGCAAACGTTGCGAAATGTCATCGCGAATGTTTCTTTGCAGATTCTTCGAGTTTTAATAAAGCAGACAAATGCGCGCTTATTAATAAGTTCTAGAAATACGTTTCCTCGCGTGAAAAAAACAGTTTAATCACTACCGTGCCAAGGAAAACGACGTTCGAGAATGGTTCAAGAATGTGTAAAGTGATTAACGCACAGAAAGGATTACCGCCCACTTACGTGATAATCTGGCTTAAAAATCACTTAGTCGATGCATTCTTCAAGATAAGAAACTATCGATTAGAATGACATTGACATGGTTAGGATTTATTAAGGCTCCTGTATGCTATTTTAATTCTAATTGTGATTTATGAGAAAATGAAAAAGAATTTGATTCTTAATATTAAAATTAGATAATAATCGGAATTTTCTAATATTGAGAAAGCTTTTATAATAATATGAATTATAGAAATTGCAAATTTATAGTATAATAATTATAATTCTGTTATAAATCTGATAATTCTATAATATTACAGAGGCAAATCTTTACTTAACAAATCATAGAATTTAGAAAATTCTTTCGAGCTTACTCTTATAAAAAATCTTGCAATATATAGACAATGTAATTTACAGTATGGACAAATTAATTTTTTAAATATTTGAAAAATTAAAAATTATAAAATATGAAATTGAAATAATTATAGACTCCAATATGTATATATATTTAAAAAAAAATTAATCACTGTCTTTGAATGAACTACTTGCGATCTAAGCAGATCTATGATTGTGATTTACGATACCTGGGCCCGGCGGCAAGTCCGACGGGCAGCACGGAGGCTCCTAACACCGCAGCAATTCTGATTAATCCATTGTTCGCATCCGATTGCGCGAGCTGATGAGGAAAATTGACCAGGAAGGTGGCGAAGAGCAGTGGTATCATCATCTTGGCTTGACTTCCGAGTCAAGACTGGGAGGACGAAGACGTTCAAGGCGAAGCATAGAATAACGGGACCTTGTTCGAGGTCACGGCATACTTTTCACCATGCGTGTGTGCATGTGCGTGAGTAACGTACGTTCGCCTGGTACAGCTCTGACTTTTTCGTCGACTCATCGCAAGTACGTCATTCGAGTTCAATGCTCTTTTGCGGACGAGAAGTGCGGCTGAAGAAAGTAGAAAGAAAGGGTTTTTTTTTAAAAAAGTTATTTAAATCGAAGGAGCGTCTTCTAAGATATCTCTCAGCCAGTAGCTACAAGAAGTTCTTTACTTAGTTCTTTTTCTCTGATAAATACCTTAGACCTTTGTAAACTTCTCTGACAATTTCAGATTTTTACATTTGTTAAAAATCTATGAAAAGTTAGAAAACACAATTTATATATGCATAAATATAAAAAAAATACTGTTACATTTATTATCAAGTTTTTGGTAGAAAAGACTTCAGTGGTAATTTCATAAATATTTTGTTTTGAAACTTCAATATTTTTATTATAATAGATTGAATTTCTTAGATATGATTGTATGCAGAAAATAAAATAGGAAATAAAAAAAATATAAAAAATAAAATAAGAAAATCGGTACAATATTATAAAGTAATTTTGATAATATTATATAAAATACTATAAAAGATATACATATATCTATATGTGTATGTATATAATTTAAAATAAGAGAATTTTTGTTTTTGACATGTATTTATTTTACTTTGAATTATATAATACAAATATATATACACAGGACTGCAGCTATTTATTTACAAATAAATATTTGGAGTTCGATGCTGCTTGTCAATTTTCGGCGATAGGAACTCTTAGAATTCAGTCTATTCGTTGCATTGAGTTAGAACAGCGTTTGTGTTCATGTACTTCATTATGTGAAAAAATATCCAAGAGTAATATTTTAACTAATATCGCTACTTTCTTATTTACTATTCGTATACCTTATAATACTAAGCTCTCATTTGTACATTTGATCTTCCGACATTCTTGGCCTTCGCACACACAGTTATTTATAACAAAATATTTACAAAAATATACTTACACAAATGTCAAACAGTTTAATAGTATAATATTCAATACGCAATGTATGCATTTGAATTTACACATTTTGTCTCTTTTTGTTGACACTTTTGCCTAAAGAGGAACCCGTTATCTCTAAGATTCAGTTTAATATTAACAATTATATGTAATATCAACAATAACGTACTCTAACAAATATTACCATATTTTTCTCTCATGTAAAATTGTTCTGAGAAAAGACAGTACGTGCAAATTATTTTTTTACTGCATCTTATATTGCTCAATGAAATCTACACTTATTATACTTTATTCCACAAGAGAATTTTAATTTAAAATTTTCGAATCATAAATCCAATTATATTTATCTGTTGCTACGAGGTAAACGATTTTTTTTTAAATCCTCATCGTTAAATTTTTGACACAATATGGGTAGTGTGCGTCAAAAATGTCGAGATGATTCGTTACTCTTCCTATTATAAAAACTTTGTAACAGAGAAACGTGAGATATCTTTTTATCCTGCACGCTGTTGAAGGCGGAAGACCTGCACTCCCTCACGAGAGCAAATAAAGTCCCTGAGTTGTTCTCGCTAAATTAAGCAAGAAGAAAAAGTTCCATCAAGTTTCTTTTTTAGAGGAGCTAGCTTTTCTGAGTTACATTTGCGTTCTCGCATTTCACGTTTTGCGCGCTCGCATTCGCGTTTTTTACACTCGCGTTAACGTTCATGTTCGTTTCTTTGACCCGCGGTTGATTGACTGAATGACTGTAATTGGGGCACAACCTCTTCATCAGTTTCTTCTGCATATTCTTCAGGTTTCCTTCTCTCATCAGCTCCTTCTTCGCCTTCGTCAAGTGTCCCTCCTCCATCTTGCTCTCTTTTCCATTCTTTATTCGATACTTTTTAAATAAATACAGAGAAGTAAGAGAACAGAAGATTCCCATTACCACGGAAATGGTTAACATCAAAAGTTTTATGTCGCTGTTAGTCATGACGTACTTTAGGTCCCAGATCGATATCTCGGGGATCTCGCAGGCCCCAGTGTCGACGACGATCGGGTAGCTACCAGGACCGTTGTTGGTGGCTACTCTGACCAAATATTTACCGCACGGCAAGGAAATCTGTGCCGACTCGCTTTCCGTTACCTGTAAAAATAAAATCAAGTTTCAATATACGAATTGGAATTATTTTAAATATTAAATTTTTATTTAATAAAAAGGTTTCAAACATATTATTTACAGAAAGTGCAGTTTTATTCGTTTGCAAAGTACTCAATATAAACAAGTTATTTTTAAGAATACTCGCGATTTGAAAATTTAGTATTTTATTGTTAGAAAGAAATGAAATCTCTTTTTTTTAATCATTTTAATATCACTATCAAAGATATAATTTTATTATCTACTGTTACTACTACTTTAATTATTTCATTATTACTACTTTCTTCTCGATTTTTTTTTACTTAAAATTCTTAGTAAATACATTATATTAATTCTCTTTGATCCTTGCAAATTATTATTGTTTATTGTCAAAAAGATGCCATAATTTCACGGAAAATTCTAAACATATAAATGTGAAAATAAACGAAAAACTATTGTTTTACGATAGTATACATAATATTCGCAAGATACTTGATTCTGTTTGTATCTCTTTTGTTTCTTTAAGTGATTGTAACGGATCTGATTGTGAATCTACTTGAAAGTACTACTTCGTTTCTCGAAACTGTCGTATAAAGAGATCGAAATTACGTCGACTCAGATTCGAATCCACTTGTGAAACGTTTAATTACCTGATTGCCCATAATACCGTCTCCCGTCTCCTGCTCCCAGGTAACGACGAAGGACGGTTTATACTGTTTCTCTTTCATGGCCCGACGCTCCAACACGATCTTATAGTATTTTGAAGGAACCCTTTTGCGTTGATTCTTCAATTGAGTTTGCCAGTCTTGCCACACAATATAGGCCTGGTAGAGAGGACCACCGGTTTTGAGCAACTGCAGCTGTGGCCTCCACTTTTCCCAACTGTAATAATAATGATTTTATCAGTGATAAAAATAAATAAGAAAAGAAAGTTTAATAGATATCGTGTTTAAAAGTTAGAAAAAAAATAATTTTTTGAAGAATATTGTTTCGATTATAATATTCGCATTTCTTTGAAACAAATTTATCACAAACAACAGAAATGTGATAGTAAACAATATGTATATTGTTTTTAATGCCGTGAATATTGGACCTTACATTAAAATGGTTTCAATTGGCACTTTTAAGCGTAATTGTCTCAAGTATGAAATCTCTGCTTGGACTTTTTGTACGTGAAATTATCTTCTCTTTGTGAAAATATCATAAAGGTTACACAAAATATACCTGTAGTGCTTGACCACGCCATCGTCCGTGACGACGATGACCCAGCCGCCCGGTATCATTGGAGGCTGCTGTTTAACGTAATAATAATTTTCTTCTTCCCATATTCCTTCCCAATTCTTTTGCATTAATACGGCAACATCGTAATCGTTCAAATGGATAGTTTCGTTTTCTTCGGGAGCTGGTAACTTAGTCGGCTCATATTTGTCTTCCTCCATCCCGCGTGACACAAAAAATTTGCACGCAGTGTCGCAACCTTGGCACTGAAAAAGAAAAACATTTATAAGATTACATAACAAAGTATAAGTACAGATGTACCATATCTATTTTACATTGTGATATTAATTTGCATGAATTAGTCGAGATAATAATAAGGTTTACATGTTAATTGAATTTTTCTTTCTACTAATTATTCTTTTTGTGATTAAATAACACTTTATAAATCTTAACTTCTTTGTGTAATAAATTAAAATCTAAGAAAAGAACAAGAAATAAATTGCTTTTTTTCTATATATTTGAAAGATCCCGATTTTTTATGCTAACATTATCTGTGCGATTGGATTTTCCTGAAAGATAGACAGGTAACCGTTTTCAAGGATTTTGCCCTCTACCAGACTTTATTTTTATTGTGCGAGACCGTCCTTTCTTTCCCGGAGAATCGAAAGTTATCCTCAAACGACAATCGAGATTTTCCTCGCGCTTGGACGACTAGCACCCTCGCTCCGAGACGTAATGAAGGGCTAGAAAGATCGGTCTAGATTACCTGCACACCCATAAAAGGCTCGGAAACTCGAAGCCGCGATCAAACACTACGGTCTGACAATGAAACTGCGCGCGAATCCGTTTCGAAAAGATTTAAAAGAAAAAAATGGTCGCAATACAGGCGAAGAAAAATCTTTGAGATTTTGCTACGGTATATTAATTATCTGTATTTTTATTATAAAAAATATTTTTTATATAAAAGTATTAAGAGTAAAATAAAAATATGCAATTAATACAAATATAAATTAAAGAAATGAATTAGAAAGAATAAAATAAAATGGATATATATTGTAAATAAAATATATGAACTAATTAATAACATATTGCGTAATAAATATAAATGTATATAGATATAATACTCATGCTATAATATTAGACGTTTTACCTCAAGCCGGAATGGAATGTCAGGTGTTGACGAATTTAACAAAACGGAACGTAGAATTGTCAGTTGTATATGACTTGCCTAAATTAAAATTAAATAAAAAAAGATTGAAATACAAAAAAATAAAACACAGATTAAATACAAAAGAATGATAACTTTTTGTTTATTTTACTTACTTTGTAATTGCGCTGCATGCACGTATTGTGTCGTTGTTCTTTTTCCAAACGACTGAGGATGTCACAAGTGTCCCAGCACTGCAAAAAAAAAAAAATAAAAATCTCAATTTTTCATTCAATTTTAATAGCAAACTTTTTGGATTTATATTTTTTTAATTCCAAAATTTGTAATATTTAGAAATTTTCAAATTTTTAGGTTTCAAATTTTTTAATTTTTCAATTCTTGAATTTTTTTTAAAAAAGATTGAGAAGTCTAGATGGGAGAGATTCAGCGGCAAACAAAAAACTCTCACGGCATGCATGGGATGCACGAGAAGAAAGAGGAGTTACTAAAGGGAGAATGAAGAGAAGGGATTTGATGCAGAAGGAAGGGCAGAATAAAAAACGTTGAATCGAGCGATTTAAGGAGAGAAGAAGAGGCGAGGGAGGAGGAAGAGGGTGAAACACCGCGAGGAAGGTGGGAAAGGGAGGGGGGCAGGGGAAGAGGCAGGGGAACTGAATTAGCTCCAACCTGTTCCGGGCACAACAGGCATCGTCGTTGTCGTTGTCTTCATATTTATTGGGGTACCGACTCTCGAGCGGGCTCGCCCTGTTCCTAAATTCTTTTTCCCCCTTTTTTTCCCATAGCCTGTCTCTGTCCCTCCCCTTTTTTCTCTCTCCTCCGATTCTCGATTACCCTTCTTCGTCGCGTACCCTTGCTAAGCCCGATTCTCCGCTTCGGAGAAACGAAAGGCCCCGTGGTTTCTCGCTAATGACATTTCCCGAAAGCCACGTCGAGATATTCCCTCGCTCGATCCGAAAGAAATTCGGGACCCAAGGGGTATATTTTCATTTTTGTATCATTAATACAATAATTATAATTTAAAATAAATAATAACGATGGGCCAAGAGCCAAGCGAGATCTTCGTGATAATCCAATAATTACATTTCTCTATGTTACAAATAATGCTAATTACATTTCTGCTTAAAATATATACCGCACAATCCATTTTTTTTTACATAATCGATAAATATTTGGCGCCAATTAATTTTCTTGGCCAAGTCGAGTCCACTGATCTTACAATCTGTGCTCTATCACAATCGGCTCGAATTATCGAGTCACGATCATTGCTTTAAGTCATAAAACAAGAAGTGTCATCCTAATCTGAAAATCAATGACTCGTTTATCCGTCGGTGGGCTCGTAAAGTGAAATAAATGGACGAAAGGAGCAGCGGTCAGTTAGAATATTTGTCGCAGAAGAATGGGGACTTAATAGTGTGCAGGGCCCAGAGGAAAAATGAAATAAGGAAAGAAAATACTTGCTAGGGGACGGGAAAAGAGTAATATATTATTTGTACATGTATATGAATATTTTTTAAATAATATTATTCCTGAGTCACGGAAGTAACTTCACACATGAGTTTAACTCGGGACATGTATTGCACGAGAACAGTAAAAGAAGTGAATGAAAACGACGATCAAAAAAAGAATAACAGAATTCAGATTTCAGACTTCTTAAAAACTATAAATCAATATCGTCGTCATGACAACTAGCGTGAAAGGGATGAAAAAGATTTTCTCCTGTGAATTCACATGTGCATAAACATTGATTCGTTTCGACCAAATTTAGAATATATATATGAATGTCGATGCACGATAAATTATACTATAAATTGTATTATGTAACAAATAAGTATATTAAAGAGATATTTAAAAAAAATGCATAATTATCATCATCATTCTTATTAACTTCATTGTTATTATTATCATTAAAAAGATTTTTTATCTTCCGTTTATTTTCTCTATTTATTTCAATTTTTAAAGCATAGATATCACAATTTCATTATTATTTATAATATTATAAATTATGTATTATATTTTGATAACGACAGTCTACCTTTCGAAATGCATTATTTTTCCCTCGCATTTTGTATTACATAACATATACCTATATTCACGTACAAATTTTTGCTAATGCACGAGTATTTTGAGACTTTAACGAATTTCTTTCTTCCAAAAATTATTATTCCCCTAGGATTAAAACAATTATATTAAATTGCGAAAAGACCTTTCCTCTTTTCTTCGATGTCATCGTCGGTGCGATGGATCGTCCTCCTTTCTCGAGAAGGAGAAAAAGAACGTGACTGTATAGCGTTCGTTAAGGGTTTATTCCCGCCCTCTCTGCAGGCTGTTATTCTAATACGGAGATGTTCCCTCGCCTCTCTCCTCCTCCCCCCGGTATTCGTCACAAGGGTCCGCGCATAAATTTGTACGTTCGGCCCCCACGTTCTCGCGGGACACGGAATCGATGGATCTCCCGAAATTAATGGACACCCCCTTCAGCATAAAATGAGCAACGCCCTCGCGCGCGCGTTGTCGGACGTCCCCTGAGTCCCTCTAACTGCGATTCTCATCCATATGTGCTCAAGGGATGGTGTGACCACACCTGGTGATTTTCCATGGCACTCAGTTCCCCCGTAAAATCGACACCTAAAGATTTATTGGTATCTCATCCGATTTCCGCCTGCGATCGGTGCCCCTTTCTTGGCCGCGCGCGGATGTACACGAGATTTACGTCGTGCTTTTAATTTCTTTTTTTTTTAAGTAAAAATATCTTTATAATATAGAAAATCTTTACATAAAAAAATTTGCAATGTATTTTTTAAATATATAATTTCAAATCGTAGATAGACTAAAGGTTTTAGAACATTTATTCCAACGCAAATTTATAGGAGGTAATAAATTAAGCTCGCTTATTGATTATTTTACACTTTTTTTTGTTTTAATTATTGGGATACCTTTCAAATTCTTGTGTTTAATACACTAATACGATATACTTTTATTAGAATGTTTGTAAATTTGAAATCAATAATTATCTTGAAATTATGAGAAAAACTATTCTCTTGCGAGTTATCTCTTTATATATTATGCAACATTCTTTACATACTGGAAACTCCGAATTTTATCTCACAAAAAAATTGCATATTATAAATAGTTATTCCTTTATGCAACCAATCTTTTGCCTTTTTATTTTATTATTAACTGAAGTTTGACAAAATGCAGATTAAACGAATTTTGCGTTACCGTAATTTCTAAAATATTTTGCAGTAAAAGTGTAGTATAGTTGGACTTCACAAAACTCGCATTAACTAAATATTTCTAATAATAGAATCGTAAATTAGCTTTTTAATCATTTTATCAATAAGTTGTAGGAATTGCAAGAAGTATAATATTATCTTTTTGTTATTATCTTTGGAATTGTTCCGAGGACAACTCTCGTGCGTAATTATATCGCATTGAGTATTAGCTTCTCAATCATTTTATCAATAAATTGTAGGAATTACAAGTATAATATTATCTTTTTGTTATTATCTTTGGAATTTTTCTGAGAGCAACTCTTGTGCGTAATTATATCATATTGATTATTATATCTTATCGAAAATTCTTTAGAATGTTGAGAGGACTGTAAAAGAACGATGCAATGATCGTAAAACGGTCTTAATTACCTCCTCGCAGTCATTTATTTCGCTTTTATCTAAATTCGAGCAATAGCCGTTGTTCATGTAACGTCGCAGGCACGTCGATCGGCACTGCGCAGTCTTGATGATCGGCCCGAGATCCAGGCTGGCGGCCACCAGGGCCAAGGTCGCGCAGAATATAAGCGCCGGAAGCCATGCGATCTTCATCCTCATCCTCGATAACAAAGAACCTCACTTTTTTCCACCACAAAATTACTATTATTACTTTCTTTCGATTAAAACTCCGAGGTTATATCTCGCGGTCTAATCGATCACAGATCGATGCCGGCGGGACACGAGGGCCACCGGCGTGGGTTTCACAAGCGAAATTTCGGTGCGACTGCGGTCCTTCAGGGTTCGGATACCTCCTTATATAACCGCGCGTCCCCCACTGCGCGCTCCCCGGGTTTTCGTGGGTCCCCACCCTTACAGAGTTGCCGTGAAGAGCATCCCTCGTAATTATACGTCGTCTCTCAGCATATGGCCTGCCCCGAGGTTTCAATCCTGACCGAATTATTCGGCCTACATGAAATGTAGGCCAGTTTGCTGAAGTCGCGATGACGCGGGTATTTCGCTGCTTGGATTAGAATTTTCTTTGCGAAACAACAAATAACAAATTAATAAACTTAAATAAATAATACGAAAATGCTACATCAACTACATCAAGCTAACGCTTGATGTAATTGATGTAGCACTTAACAATAAGTTTCTTTATGGTAAAATGACTAATGATTTTTATGATTTTGATCGATGATTTAATTTCAAATATAGGAAACAATTAATGGTATTTCTTGAAAAATTTCTTTGATTTTTTTCTTGAAAACATTTTCCACCAATACAATAGGATATACCAAACAAAAGACGAGAAACCATTAATTCTCTATACAACTGGCAATGAGTTTTAAGTTTTTTTATTCTTATAACTTTTTAAGCTGAAAATATGTAACACGCAATAGATGAAATATAAAAAACAAAGATATTTTGCAATTAGAAGTTTAACATAAATTACTCTCGATGTGCAATTGTTGATCGTAATTGTTATTAAATTCTTGTTATTATTTTCTAATTAATATTAAATTCTACGTTGTTGCAAGTCATAAATTGTTGTGATTTCATGAGCGACGAGGAATGAAATTTAATTTGTCCCGTAAGCAAAGTTAATTTCGATTCGTATCCAAGTGCCGCCAAATGGCTAGTTTTATTGTGGTAGAAAAGTGGTTAGTTGGAAAGAAGATGGCGTTTTTTGGGCCATATGCCGCGCGGAGATCTCGTATCGTGGACCAGAGCGTAGATAATTACGATAGGCCCCAGAGAGTGTATAGTTATTATGTGAAGATGGCAGAAACGATATTTGCTGCATCATCTAGATGCGCGTTCTACACTCGTCCCTTTTTTCGAAGAAATTTGTACGCTCGATTTATGACCAAAAATTTTTTTAAGAAAAGGAATTAATTATGAAATATTTTCTGTGTTTACATTAAAAAATTGTAGTTATAGACTTTTTATTGTGTTTTACACATTAAGACATCTGAAATATATATTTATGAAATATAAATATATATCTTTTAAAAAATTTTATTTTATTAAATCAGAAATTGCTGAGAGCCATATTTGCCATGTTTGGCATTTATACAAAAAGTTATAAATTTCTACAAATTATTTATATTTGTAATACGCTACTACTAATATTACAGATAATAATAGTCTTCGGCTTTTCGGATTTCTTGGAAGAGAACGGTCACGCTTCAACCTTACCATCACGGTCACGAAATTTAAGCGCAATTAGGCGTTCCGCCTATCCAACATCCGGGGAGTCCTCTGGGGAGTCTTAATGTAAGAAAGTGGGTGGAGAAGATCCACAGTGTGAGTCCTTGAACGGAAACGGACGTACTGTGGATCAAATGATCGACGAGCCCTTCGAAGTTTAATATTACATCGAGAAAATTCGTTGCGTACTCCCCTTCCCCTTTCGCCCTTCTCGCTCAGCAGGTACATGAACTGTTCCATCCATCCTCGCAATCGGGGAAGAAAAATAAAAGACATATGAAGGGGGAGGGAAACGGAGAGGGGCGAGGGGGAGGAACGAACTGTGTACCGCCGTTACCCGCCGGAAGTCGCGGTGTCTATGGGTGCCGCGCGCTACGTCACAATGCACAGGATGTGTACAAATAAGGGTATTTGTCCGCGGCGGGTGATTGTAGGGTGAAATATACGTGACGCTAAAAACGTCAGTATAGAAAGGAACGAGAAAGCCGGGTTGCATCCCTCGCGCTTGTGCCCGACACGATGAAATAGAAAAGGGGGGGGGGGGCCCGAGCGATCCATTCATCTAGGCGGCGCGCGGTAGTTTAGGGGTGGTGGGCACATTGGATCGCGAAGGCTTCCTTCAATGGACGCGAGAGTGACGTTTCATTGTGCGCCGCGCTTTTCTCACACCTGGACCAGCGCGGCTCAGCTCGGCTCAGCTCCGCTTCGTTTCGCTTCGCTCGGACGTGCACAAAAATATTATCTTAGCACGTACAGCTCCTGCGTATACAGGCAAACTCGGGAGTAACGTGATTTACGCGGGTGATTAATTAGTCTCTTGGTTTTCTGTCAATAACAATTAGAAATGATTGATTGTCGAGTTGCTTCTCTTGCCTCGTGCAATATATTACTATGTTCCGTGCGCATAAGCTGTTGGCGCTTAACGGTCTAATGTGAAATAATAATTCAGCTTCATGCGTTGTTAATTGTATCACGTTAACTTTTGTTGAGCTCTTTCTGAAGTTTTACATTATATGTTTCTTTTTTCATATAATTTCGTTGGAAATATTTTTGCAATGGCAAAAAAAAATCATTATTACTATTATTATTATTCTTAACAAAAACTGAGTTTATTGATGACATTCTTAATTTGGTTAATAAGAAAAATATGAGGCCCGATCTTTTTTTAATTGTTTATTTTTTTAATTGTATACCTTTTGTTTTTTTTGCCACATTATCTTTTCTTATTCCACGAAAAACACAGTTTTGTTAGTTATTCTCGTTAAGTTACGTTTCTTAATATTTTTAAGGATTTGTCTCCTCGCCGTAGAAATATTTTTCTAGGATTCGGTAAACCGAGTGGCACACACATTCCTATCTCGGAGTTTTGTCTCTCTTTCACGAAGCGAACAACTATCGCATTCCGCCACGAGGCCTGTTTCTTACGAACGCTGATTGTTTATCGGCTTTGTAATCCGAAGGGACACAGGAGGGATTACGCAGGTCATGCGATTTTCCATACGATTATGTCCATTTTCCAGGATTTTAGTCCTAACCTGTAAGAGGCAGAACTTGTAAAACCCTCATCTTTCCTCATCAGTCTCCGTTCCTCGTCTCTAGCTCCGATTGAGATTTAGATTCTATCTATCGCTCGTATTTTACCGCTTTCTCCCGCACGTTTTTCCTTTCGTGTCCTGCAGAATCTTTGTTGATCAAGATAGAACTTTGGATCTCGCTTCGTAAAACGTAAGAATTAAGAAAGGAAAGTATTTCAATATATCCCTTATCTAGTTACGTTACTCATATTAATCGTATTATTCGCGTCGCACTGTTTCGAACGCAAAATAATCCAAAAGCCGAACGTAGAATTAATCATCTGCAAATTTTCACAATTTGCTTCGAGAACGAAGGATCTAACATTCTAACGTATCATTCGCACACCATTTGTCGAATGAGCCTAAAGACCTAACAAAGCGGAAAATTCAGGCCGATTCGTTACATCGGAGGAAGGAAAGCGAAAGCTTTGAAAGGCAGTTTTCGCGTCAAATGTGGCAGTGACAAATTTTTATTGTGGCCGCCTCGCTTCCCCTTGCTCTTCGATTTGTGCCGCCGTGCGGAATAAGCTGCGGCGCAGACATATTTCTCTAAACGACAGGTGATGGTGGAAGTCGCTATTGAGGCGCCTTGGATTTCAACTTCTCTACGGAGGAGGACTTTGGCGCGGGGATCGACGCAGCTATGCGTCTGACAAATTCTCAAAAAGCAGAATTTATGGCCCATCCAGCCACCGGTGGGACATCCTCGGGTCAAAAGCGTGGCTGGAGAGTTTACGGCTTTGTCGCGCGGGGAGAGATGGACCTTCCGTTTTTCTTTGACCATTTCTTCCATTTCTCTGCTTTGTATTATGAATGCGCTACATTACGACATATTACTAGAGAAGATAGTGTTATTAGGTTTCAGAGCTTTTCACTCTCGCGAGAGAGCATTGATGTTCTCCACAGCACGGGAAAGAAGTGGGAAATCTTCATCTTTTATATAATTCTCGAATTTTTAAATCAACATTGTTGATTTAAAAAATTCGAGAATTTTTTTAAATCAACATTTGACATGTACGTTTAATACATATTAAACTTTCGATAGCAACTCTTCATTTTTTTAATGAAAAAGAAATTATAAATTTTTAATTTTTTGTATGTGAATGACGGTATATACTAATTCATTTTTTTCTCGTGCAAGGAAGGTTACTCTCTAAATTCTCTGGAGTGAATTTTCACTCTTTTGGAGTGAATCTCACTCCAAAAGATTGAAAATACTGCCATTCAAGTGGCCGCGTGGCAGTATTTTCAATCTTTTGGAATGAG